AGAGGAGGGTTAACGAGGTGGAAACCAGACCGGTCACTGGAGACTGGGTTTTGTTACGGTCCAGAGCTCTCCACACGAAAGGGTCACAAAACCAGGGAGCGAACAAGGCAGAAAAACAGGAGAAGAGGAAGGACAGGCGCCTTTCTCTCCAGGCTCAGAGGGAGGAAGAGAGACCTCGCCAGTTTGCAAACCAGGCCTTGAAGCGGAAGGGCGGGTAGAGGGGGTCACGGACAAAGTCGCCCAGACCGGCTCTGTCCAAATTTGCAGGACCGGCACAGCCCCCTGTCGCTTCTCCCTTCTCAGGGAAGCTTCGGGCCTCCCATTCGAGCCCTTCCCCTGCGTGGCTTTGAGGGCGCCTTCTCCCCCAACCGTGCAGGGTATCCGTGCGCGGGGAGGGGGGGGAATCGGCCAGGTGCACACCTCCTACTTTCAGCATCTTCAACAAGCTCAATGCCTTTCTGGTTTTCAAAGGGTGTGACATTTGTTAAAATAAGGATAATACTAATACTAATAATGGACCGAGAGGCCATTTCTGTGCCCCTTGCACGGACCAGATTCAGGAGGCGCAATGCGAAGAGGCCCTTTGCTGCCTTCCCCCTCCCTGCATCCACTGAAGACCAGGACGGAAAAGGGTGGAAGGTCCGGGGATTTCAACCCTTCTGCCCTTGAACGCTAAAAGCCTTCGGCCGGGATGAACTCTTTGTCTCCCCGTTTCAGTCGGTCTCATAGTCAGAGGGTGGGTTTGTTGGTTTGTTTTTCCTTTCAAACTCTCAAGTTCTTCCTCTTCTGAACTTGAACAAATACGGCAACGTTTGTGTCAAATAATGAATCAAATCACAATTATTTCCACTCCCTTTTTGTTCAGAGTATGGGCTGCCTCCTTTCAGGTAAACTGAAACAAGTCATTCTCCTTTTTTAAAGCTTCTTGGAAAACATCCATTTTTGGTGTACATGGTGGGGATTTAAGATGGGAGGATGTCCAGCAAAAATAGCAGAGAAATGTTAGATGCTAGAGAAAAACCCCAAACCGGGGCTGTTCGGGGAGCAAAATGTAAAACGAGGCAGAGAGCGTGTCATGGTGGTCGTGGTCGTGGTCGTGGTCGTCTTCTTCTTCTTCTTCTTCTTCTTCTTCTTCTTCTTCTTCTTCTTCTTCTTCTTCTTCTTCTGTCCCAGACCCCCATCACCTGAGCCACGCAGCCGTCCCGCTCGTCCCCTGCCTGTTTTCGCCTCCCGGCGCAGCCCTGTCTGCCTGGGAGGCAGAGAAGCTCAAGCGGTTTTGTCCGACACAACGCGGAGTCTGCTGCGGATGACCGTCTCTGAACCGAGCTACGCATTTTGTGGTTTTCCTTGTTACAAAAGACTTGGGCCCTGGACTTGAACGTTATTGTTCGGGAGGACCAAGCAACCACTGGACCTTGACAAAGTCCGGGGCTCCTTGTCTCTTCCTTCTGGGGTTCCCCTCATTTCGTCCACCACCCCCCCGGAGAAGCCAATCAATCCCCCTTTCAAGACTCCAGGCCCGGCGGCTGCCCTTCTCACAGGCCTCCTTCCCGCTGGCCTAAGAAAGGCTTTGGGGCCAACTACTCTTCCTTCAGTTGCAATGTGAGGAACACAGACATGGTTTTTACTCTGGATCAGGGCCTCTGGGGCAGAATCCAGAACCAGTCATGTGTTCT